AGGGTGGGATACAGTAGGGTAGAGTGGAATAGGGTAGAATGACATAGCTACGGTAGGTGTACCTGCGAATCTCTCGCGAATCTCCAATCGCATCAACAAAAAAAATCCCGCGAATCTCGAACAAAAACTTCGCGCCTTAAAAATTAGCCAGCGGATCTCCGAAAAAACTTCGCGCCTAGAAAATTTTCGGGCGACTGAAAGAGCCAAACTCTATACACCGACGCTTTTTCCAGCCCGCACTGATATGCGCACAGGAAAGCGGATCCAGATGTATGCGGATCCTGGTGTATACATTGTTTGATGTTTCCCCCCGGAAAATGAATAAACAAGTATACACCACACCACCCCGACGTCGTCCCCGACCCTCAAAAAATTCGGGGATTGGAAAACAGCCCGCCACTGGTAATGTATGTGTTCCAGCTTCCGACGAACCTTTCGCGGAATCTCCAACGAAGGCTCCGCTGGCGCAGACGATCTGCCATCGATTTCTGCGAGCCGGAAATGTTTTCCTGGGTGTGCCAAAGATCTCCTTACAGGAGCGCGTTTCCTTTAAAGTAGCTGCTCGCAAATCGCCTGGATCCGCCGCGGGAAATCTACGATAGATTGCATCGAAGCAGACGTGGTTTGTTTTCGGGCGTTTGCGAGTAGGCACTTTGCGAGTAGTGGAACGCGCTCGGTGAGATGTGCCAAACATTTCCTAAAATTTCTGCACGAAAGATATTTGCCGGAGATTTTCCGGAGAGTCTCCGGAGCTTCTGAAATTTTCGGGGCAGTTCCTCCGAAGTTTGAAAGCCAAGAGATGTTCTATCGATTTCCCTGGAGATGTGGGGGAAATTTCCCCAGAGATGTTTTTGAGATTTTTCGTCCAGAGAGCCCTGGTCGCGTTTGCCATACGAACCCAATCTAAGCTGACTAGAGCAGAATAAGGTCGGAGTAAAGTAGGGTGCAATATTAAGATCGAATAGAGCAGGAGCAAAGTAGAGTACGGTAGAGTATGTGATGGTACGGTTGGATAAGGTCGAGTCAGGTAAAAGTGAAGTAGGGAAGGAGGAGAGTACCGGGTAGAGTAGACAAGGAGTAGAGCAGAGTAGAATAGAGACACGATAAAGCAGAGAAGAGTAGGGTGGGATACGGTAGCGTGGAGTAGTGTAGGGTCGAGTAGAATAAGAGGAATCGCACATAATCGAATAGAAAAGAGTAGATGTGCAGAGTCGAGCAGGCATGCAGGAGAGTAGAGTAGAGCTGAGTAGAGTCGAGTAGAGCACCCAATAGGCGCTAAGTAGAGTAAGTAGAGTATGTCAGGGCATGGCAGGATAGAGTAGGGAAGAGTAGAGTTGAATAGAGTAGACTACCGCAGAGTAGGAAATGACATGCATAAGAGTAAAAGTATAATCATAGAAAAGTGGAACACGACAGAGTAAGGTGGGCTACGATAGGGTAGAGTACAACAAAGTAGGGTAACTTCAGGCAAATCGAGTCGGGTAGAGAAGAGTACATGGGTAGAGCAGAGCAGACATAAAGCAAAATAGTATGTCAGGGTACGGTAGGGTAGAGCCGGGTAGAAGGTAGAGTAGGACAAGCTAGAGTAGAGTAGAATAGAGTGGAGCAGAGTAGCGTAGAATAGGGCAGAGCAGAGCAGAGCAGGAGTAGAACAGAGTAGGAACAGAGTGGAGTCTACTAGACCATGTTCGGGTACAATCGAGCCGAGTAGGTTTGGGTAGAGTAGGGCAGAGTGAGATAGAGTACAGGAACGTAGAGTAGAGTAGAGTAGAGAAAGTCAGAATAGCGTAAAATACGGTAGGGCCCTTGTCGGATACCGAGACAGCTAGACCGAGCCCTAGTAGGCCCTAGTAGCATTCTATCAAAGCTGGCAACTGGCGGGGCGCTGGCGACAGGTGCGCGGCCGCCGCCGCCGCTGACGTCGTTGTCGCCGTCGTCGGCGTCGTCGCCGTCGCTGCCGCCACCGTCGTCGTCGTCGTCGTCGTCGTCGTCGTCGTCGTCGTCGTCGTCGTCGTCGTCGTCGTCGTCGTGGTCGTCGTCTTCGTCGCCGTCGTTGTCGTTCTCAGCGACGGTGGATTGCGCCCCCCAATTAACTGGAACCCTGTGGGAAGAGGCAGACTCAAAATCAGGCCCACTGAAGGCCAACCGTAGTACATTAAAACTCCAGACCCACGTCTGGAAAGACGGCAAGCTTTAGGGTCCGTGCCCTGCCAGGCCGAGGCACAAAAACAACTGTGGGGTCCCGACCAAGGCGGGCGCCCCTAACAGCCCGAGGTGGTCCCCACTGCTGGGGCCAGCAAAAGCAAAAACGCCCCGGTAAGTGCCAGGTCGTACCGGTGCGCCGTGCCAGCCGTGCCACGGGAGGAGGAGGGAGGAGAGAAGGACAAGGAGGAGGAGGAGGAGGAGGGAGGAGGAGGAGGCGAGGAGGGAGGGGGCAGGCGGAGGAAGGGGGGACAATCAAGGGGGGCAAAGGGGAAAGAAGGGAGGAGGAGGAACGAAGAAGAGGGGTAGGAGGAGAAGGAGGAGGTGGAAAAAGGAGAGAACGAGGGGCAGCAGCAGGATCAGGGGAGGGGGGGGAAGGAAGTGCGGAAGCAGAGGGAAAAGAGGATGAGACTGATGACGAAAAGGAGGGGTTGGCGGCGCGCAAACAGGGGGGTGCAGGGGGAGGGGGGGAAACTTCTTAGAAAGAGCCTGCTTCCTAGAAGGCGCCGGCATTGCATCTCTAGATGAGGCCCGCGCCTTCTAAGAAGCAGGGGTGCTTCTAAGAAGCCTTCCCCCCTCCCTCACCCCCTCTGTGCGTGGACGAAGTGGGTGGGAGGACGGGGGGGGAGGGGGAGGAGAATGATGGGGAGCAGGACGGGAAATGCGGCTCAACATTCCCTCAACACGGGTGGCCCTTGTTCATCCTCGAATGCAACTCTCCCGCCGTCCAATTCGCCCCTACCTCCCCATCGGGGGGAACGGGGCCCCGAGGGGGATGAGAGGGGGGGTGAGTAGAAGGGCGAAGGAAGGAGGCGGAGGAAGGAGGTAGGGAATTGGCGGAAAATGCGAGCGCCTCGACACGAGCTACGAGCATGAGCTGTCCGACAGAGAGGGGAGAAGAGAGGGGAGCGAGGCAAGCTGGCTGCGCTCGCGCCTATCTGACATGACACCACGCCCCAACAATCCCTGTCCATTGCGCCAAATTGTCCTCTATGCGCCGACGGGTGTCTTATCGCACCTGGACCCCCCCCATCAACAAAAACTCAACGAACACGTATACAAAAAAGAAAAGAAGGAGAGAGAGAGAGAGAGGGAGACAGAGAGAGAGAGAGAGACCAACACACACACACACACTTACACACACGCACATAAAGAGCGAGAGAGAGAGAACTATGGAGAGACATATAGAGAGAGAGGAGAGAGGGATACATATCTATATAGAGAGAGAGAGAGACAACAAAAAAAAACGAGAGAAAGAGAGAGAGAGAGAGACAGAGAGAGAAGCCGGCCCCCCTGGGGGCGCCAGGCTGCAAGGGCGTTTGCTGCAGCACTGTTGTCATGGTGTCATCCTGTTGTCTTTTGTAGGCCGCTTCTTGTCTCTCCAGTCCTGTTCCCCTTGAAACTCGGAGGAATACTGCTGGACAAGATGATACCGGGACAGGCGTGATGTGTATGAAAGACTTCGCTTGTCTGCAGCGACTCGTCGGTCGACGCCACTACTGCGCGGCGAGCAGGCCTACTTCAGAGTCAGGTTGGTTTCCCGTCGATATGTTAAAACGAACCTTTTCTGTTCCGTTTCCAGCTCAAAACATGCTTCAACCGCCACCGTCGCAACGCGAATGCCGGCCACTACGAAAGCTGGCTTTAAGTACATGTGCGCGAAACCAAGGCTGCAGGGATCAAGCGGAGCGGTTGCATGTGAAAACCGTTTTTGATCCTCACCGAGCGATATGTTGAGCTAGCTTGTTGGCGGCCGTTGCCTGGTGGCTTGGGTTGCCGTGGTGCAAGGTACACACGGCGAGGGCCTTTCGGCGCCATGGCGCGTGCGTTCGGAACAGAAGGGATTTGACGCCAATCGGTCACGGCCTGGGATGCGCCGCGTCCGGTCTCGCGAGGCCATTAGTGACCCTCGAGCCGAGAAGGAAACAAACAAACAAAGACAGAGAGAGAGAGAAAGAGAGACAGAGCAGAGAGCAGAGAGCAAAGAGCAGAGAGAAAGAGAAAGAGAAAGAGAGAGACCGCGCCGCTGGTGGGCGGGTTACGGGGAGGAGGAGGGGGGGAGCGAGGCACAATGGGTCCATGCATTCGCTCTGGGAGCAGGGCTCCGAGTCGATCGGTCGCCCTCTGCTGCCCCGAGACAGACAGCACCTGCGCACTGCGTCTCGCTCCTGGGGTACCCGCCCCAGGAGCGGCGGTGTAGCTTGAAGCCCCTAAGGCGCTTCGCTCGGAGGCTCGAGAGAGCAGCGCGTGGGTGGCTGCCCTCACATGCCTTGAAAGGAGGCCATGAAGCCACTCCTGGGAGGCTCTCATCACAACGATCCAGGACGAATGATCCGATGAAGGGGCCACCAAGCAGGGTTAAGCCGCGGATTCAGCTGGACTGAGCGGGGTGGAACTGGAACAAGCGGTATCGAACTGATACGTACTTGCCCGCGACGATGCTGAATTGAACCGTCCCAGGAATTGCACCCCAATCAACAGAGGTGTCCCTGGCGGCGGAAGTGGAGAGGGAGGAGATGAGGAGGGGGCCTCAGGGTGGGTAGGGTGAGACGCAACGGTGAAGGAACACCGGGGGACGACGAAAACAAAGCGAGACAAAGGAACGGAATGCCCTTAAACTTGTAGGGGTGGTCACCCAGCAGTGAGTCTAGCCCACCAGCGGCCAAAAGATGAGAGGAAAGCCCTGTGTCAGGCCAACAACGAGCACTGTGCCGACCTAGTCCAGATCTGCTGGGAAGCAGTGTGCAGCACACGCCCAGACGAGAGGGGTGTTCCGAAAGTCTGCTAGCACATACGGACTATGGGGCGTCCTCGGCGTATAGCTGGCTTAGACCGGCGAACGCGAGGATGCAACATAAGTACGTTAACTTCAGCGCGATCGCGGCTGTAAGACGGACTTCGCCTACGTAGAACCCTGCGGCGCTGTAGGTCATGAATTGCACCAGGTAGTGTCTCCGACTGTCGACGCACTCTCCGAAGGTCAACGAGTTGATCACTGAGGGCATTCGCATGCACCTCTCTGAGACCTCCGCAGCTTTGAAGAAGATGAACATGACGCCAACGACCAGCAATGCGGCAGAGAACAGCGGCGTCAGGTCCCCCAAGTTGCTTGACAAATTTCCTGACGTCAAATGGCCTCGCCCTGCCAGGATCACGCCCGTGCCCAGCGCGACTGCGGTGCTCTGCACCGCCAAGAAGCCCTTCTCGGCCGCCCCCGACACCTTGCGAAGCACGGCCTGCAACAGGTTCCACTCGTGCACGCTCGTGGCCAGCCTGAAGTGCGCGCCGTCGAAGTGCTTGACGTACGAGTCGATGACCATGGTGAGGGCGCAGCTCACGTGGAGGATGCCGTCCACGATGCCCAGGAAGACCAGGCTCACCACGGCGAAGCTTCCTGCCCTGGCGGCGTCCAGGGGCGAAGGAGGGTGCCCTTTCAGCAGCGGGGCACAGCGCATCGCCACGCTGCACGTCCACAGCAAAACTAGCCGCACGTTGTGGCCCCGCATGGCGGCCGACCAGGCCGCGGTGATGTCCTGGCGGCGGGCGTAGGCGACGAGAATGGACTCCGAGCTGCCCAGGATGCCCAGAGACGCCAGGGGCCTAATCAAGACCAGCCCAGACAGGCTGCCCACCGCCAGAGCCAGGTCGGCGATCTGGATGTAGCCCAGACACACCTGGCGCTCGCACGACCCGGCCGGGACGTAGGCTGCTGCGAACGCGAGGAAGCAGACGATGACAGAGGAAGAGCAAACTGCACAAGCACAAACTCTTGGCGCCCCGCGTGGATGTCCTGGATCTGCGTTGAGCCTGAGCCCCCCCTCCTTTGTGGGCCCCAGAAACGGCAGGGCCGTTTTTTCACCGTTTCAGCAAAAAATGTCCCTTGAAAATGGAAACGGCAAAAAAACGGCGACCGGAAACGGCAACAAAAACGGCTCCAGGACTGGAACCGGAGCCGGAACCGGTCAAAAAACGGCGACGGAACCGGTAAAAAAACGGCGTCGGAACCGGTAAGAAAACGGCAAAACGGAACCGGTAAAAAAACGGCCCTGTCGTTTCCAGGGCCCACTAGGCGGCCCCCCCCCCCCCCTGGCGCGCGGAGCGGGCCGGGGGCGGCGCCAGAGGCGCCGGCAGGGAGGCCCAGCGCGGATGCGAGGGGTCCCCGCACGGGGCCCCGAATGTTTTTGTGGCCGCGCAGTTTCCCCTCCTCCGAGCTGAGCGCCATCGACCCGAGCACGAGGGAGGGGTAGCAGGCGCGCAGGGCCGAGCCGTGGCCCCACGGGAGGGTGCCGCAGACGCGGAGCCACAGGGGTGCGCACACGCCGCCCTCCGCCTCCAGCGAGGACAGGCTGGAGGTCGTGGTGCCGAAGGCGTCGCCCTCCTGAGAGGGAAGCCATGCAAGAACAGACGGCACGCGCCGCAAGTTTCGGAGCGCGGCGCGGATCTGCTGCATCGGAGCCAGACCCCTCCCCCCCCCTTCCCTTGCGCGCGGAGCGCGCCAGGGGCGGCGCCAGAGGCGCCGCCAGGGGGGCCCCCGCGCCGATCCGAGAAATCTGGGCGGAGCTCCGAAAATTGCACTTTATGCCGTGTTGGGGGAGCTAACCACGCACCGACACCGCTACTCCCCGGACCTCTCCCTGGGCGCGTTCTGACCGGAATGTCGAAGGGAATGCAGCCGTGGCGACGTGGGGCCCGGGAGACCCAAACAGGCCAAACCGGGGCAAAAGAATAGCGGATGGCGGTGTGGATGCCTTCTCCTCCTCAGATGTGTGCAGGGTTTTCTGGTTCGGCTCCTGGTTCTGCCAGATTTCCTCCACCAGCCCATCAACGCGTTGTTGCCGCACCGTCTGCACCCTACCGGTCGCGCTGTGGCGCCGCGCCGCAACCCTGCCGGGGTCGACCTCAGCCTTGCGGAGCAGGGCGAGCCGAGACAACAGCAGCCCAATATCGGTTCCCAGGCCCCTTCTGGGGTCCAAACGCCCCGGTTTTCCGAGCTGCGGCCAGCCATGGCGACGAGGGGGGTCCCCCCGAAGGCCAACTACCCTTGGCTCAATTCGCCCTCCTCTGAACCTTCAATCTCCGCAGCGGCTCGCTTTGCCAACGCCGCTCGCTTTGCCAGCGCCTGTTGCCGCTGCTGGACTTGGTTTCCTTTGGCGGCGCGCGCGAGGGGGTGGCGCGCTTGAGGCGGCCTTCTGAGAAGGCGGCGTGCTTCTTAGAAGGCTGTGGCCTTCCAACCAAGGGCCTGGGGGCGTCCGAGAGAGCTTTTCTTGGAGGCCCCCCAGCGCTCCTGCGAGGGCCCCTGCCTTCTGCAGTGGGCGCCTCCTAGATGGGATCCAAGAGGATGGGGTCGGAGGATCGCGCCGCATCGCCAATGCATCGGCGATGTATCACCGATGCATCGGCGACGTCAGCGACGCATCGGCGCCGTCTGCGAGGAGAAAATCGGGCTCCTCATCGAAACGCATCGACGATGCATCGGCGATGCGGCGCGATCCTCCGACCTCATCTACCCGGACCCCCTCCAGGAGGCAGAGATATAGGAGGCCACCAGACCTCTTAGAGGGCCGTCCCCCTCACGCCACGCCCCTCTTCGGCGACACGGAGGGATGACCTCTGCTGCGCGGTTGCTTAGGGCCGCGAAGGGGCCAAACCCAAGCGCGCAGGGCACTGACTCGAGGGGCCCCCGTGGGCTCGGGCGGGTGGTCATAGAGGGTTACCACCAAAACGGGGGTTGAAGCAAAGAACCTCCGGCGAAGAGCCACTCCCGCGTGCAGCGGCGTGGGCCGACTTGTGCGCGCCGCCGGGTCCTCCCGCGCGGGCTCGCCGCCGTGCTCGGTGCCCTCCCGCTCGCGGGGCTCCTCGGGCAGCTCCCCCGCGCACGGCGGGAGGCCGTTGAGCCCGCTGGCCGCCGCGGCGCCCGGGGCCTCGCGGCCCGGCAGGGCGAGGACGCCGCCGGGAGCCTCGGCCCGCTCGCGGGCCGCGCCGGCGCCCGGGCGCGGGGCGCCCCTGGGCACGGCCACGATGTCGACGGGCTCGCTCCCGGCGAGGGCCTTCCCAGACAGCGGGCGTCTCGGAAAAAGCGAGGCGGAAGCGGTTCGTCGTTTGCAGCCTCCCGGGGCCCTCGCCGGGCCTCGGGACTGGCAAGAAACGACTCGGGATGAAAAACTGCTCCTGGGGAAGCGGTCGGGAGGTCGGGAGCCCGTGTCTCGAAAAAATCGGGACGTCGGATGTCTGGGTTCATGGGCCTCCCAAGTGGGATCCGAGCAGATGGGGTCGGAGGATATCGTTCCGCGTCGCCGACGCATTGCCGGTGCATCGGCGACGTCGGCGTGGAGGAAATCGGCTCCACAGCGAGCCGCATCGCCGATGCATCGCGATGCGGCGCGATCCTCCGCCCCCATCTGCTCGGACCCCCTTTTGGAAGGCCTGCGTAGAGCCTGGGCCAAGGTCGACAGGAGGTCCTCCGTCCGGCTGTTGACCTCGACGATCCTGTCCCCGACGCCAAGGCGCCCCTCGGTCCGCCGCGCATTCCACGCAGCGACGAGCCCGCCCTCGAGGATGGCCGAGACAATGAGGCCCCTCTCGGCCCCAGCCGTCACATCGAGCGCCTCGATCCCGAGCCTCCTTCCGCCTTCCGTGCCATCGCCGGCCAGGCGCATGTGGATGCGGCGGCCGGCGTCGGCCCCGGGAGCTGGCTGGCTCCTGCCGTCGCCGCCGTCGGCCGCGGGCGGTGGCACCGAAGCCGCCGCCGTCGCCGCGGGGGCCGCGCCGCCAGCGCCGCCGTCGCCCGCGGGCGCCGCCGCCTCGCGCTCGCCGGCGGCGCCCGGCCGGGCCGCGGCCACGGCCTCCGCCCGCGGCGGCGGCCAGGGCCCCCGCGGCAGGCCGGCGGCGCAGGGCCCCGCCGCGGGCTCGGGCCCGCAGAGGTCCAGGAACTCCCTCGGCCCAGGGGCCCCTGCCGCGGGCGCCCGAAGCAGGCGCGGACAGGCAGGGGCACGAGGCCCAACAGCGAGCGCTGCCCCCCAAGAACAGCAGCAGCCGCGGCTTGGGCAGGCAGCCTTCCGTCTCGAATGGACCGCAAGCCCGCAGCGAGCTCTGCTCGAAGGGGCCAGGAGCTGCTGTCATAGAAAAAAAGAACGCCAAACTTTCGTCGGTCCGCGCGGGTTTCTTGGACCTGCGCCGGACCCCCCCACCCTGGCGCGCGGAGCGCGCCGCCGGCGGGGGCCCAGCGCAGATCCGAGAAATCCGCGCGGAGCGCCAAACGTTTACGTATATGTCTGTGGGTGTGTGTGTGTGTGTGTGTTTTTCTTCGATGCCAGTCTTCGTCCCCGTTCTGTCCGTGTGTACCCATTTGGCTCGCACCGACCTGCAGCTGCAGCGGCGCCCCCGCAGCCCACTGCCTGGCGCCCCCAGCGCAGCCCTTGCTGCCGGGCGCCCGCCGCGGGGGCGAAGGCCGCCCGCCGGGGCGGGTCGCAGGGCAGGCCGCTGCCGCCCAGGAGCGCCCGCGCGCGGCTCCAGCCCGCTGCCCCGGCCCGCCTCCCGCCCGTCCCGCCCTCGATGCATCGGGTGCTGCCAGAGGCGCCCTGGCCCGAGGTGCCCCCAGGAGTTCCGCGCGCCGGGGGGCGGCGCGGCGGCTCTTGGCACGCCTGGCGGCGCAGCGGATCGCGCGGCTGCCCAGGGGGCCGGCGCTGCTGGTCTGGGCGCGCCCAGAGTCGCGGATCAAGAGAAGGCCCCAGGATTTCCGAAGAGGCCCCCGTGGCCTCCGGAGCACTCCTCACGAGGCCCAGGGGGCCCCAGGGGCTCCACAATGGAGCGGACCCCCGCGATCCGCGCGAAAAGATGGAGACATCGCGAAGAGTCACCTCCAGAGCCATGGACCCTCTGTTTCTGCGGGTCTTTTCGAGCCCGATCGATGTGAGGGCCCCGGGGCCCGAAACCCGACGAGAACGCCTGGCTCAAACAAAAAGAAGAAAAGACGCCAAGATCTCAGGGAAGCTGGGCAGCCTCCGCATCCGCTTCTCTCCTCTTCCTCTTCCTCTTCCTCCTCCTCCTCCTCCTCCTCCTCCTCCTCCTCCTCCTCCTCCTCCTCCTCCTCCTCCTCCTCCTCCCTCCTCCCTCCTCCCTTCCCACCTCCCTCCTCCTCCTCCTCCTCCTCCTCCTCCTCCTCCTCCTCCTCCTCCTCCTCCTCCTCCTCCTCCTCCTCCTCCTCCTCCTCCTCCTCCTCCTCCTCCTACTCCTCCTCCTCCTCCTCCTCCTCCTCCTCCTCCTCCTCCCCCTCCCCCTCCCCCTCCTCCTCCTCCTCCCTCCTCCTCCTCCTCCTCCTCCTCCTCCTCCTCCTCCTCCTCCTCCTCCTCCTCCTCCTCCTCCTCCTCCTCCTCCTCCTCCTCCTCCTCCTCCTCCTCCTCCTCCTCCTCCTCCTCCTCCTCCTCCTCCTCCTCCTCCTCCTCCTCCTCCTCCTCCTCCCTCCTCCTCCTCTCCCCTCCTCCTCCTCTCTCCTCCTCCTCCCTTGGCACCTTGGGCCACGGTCACCTTTCACAGGCCCCGACTGGACTCCGCTGGGCGGATGGCGGAGGGGCGGCTGCCGCCCAGACCGCGCTCCTGCTCGAGCCTGCCCTGTGTGGCCATGCCGGACAGGATCTCCATCCCGCGGGCGTCTGCGAGGGACTTCACCCCAGGCAGCTTACCCTGGCACGCACAAACAGACACAACTCCCAGGATTCCCTGCATGTTCTGGATGCTCGTCTTCCCCTCCACTCTCCATATGTTCCAGATGCCGCCGCGCAATTTGATCTGAATGAATGCGCCCAAGTAGACGAAGCCAGCGCCGCGGCGAAGCCCACGGCTTCGCCCTAATGGCCGAGACGCCCTCCCCAAGACGTAAGGCCGCGCGTCGGAACAGAGGGCGCGGCGATATGTATCCCGGGGAATCGATGATGAGTTGTGTCTGTGTGATTTTTGTACCCTCCTGAAACAGGCATTGCGACGTGGACGATCGAGATGAAGCGGACGTTCGAGAAAGAAGCAGCAGCATTAACAGAAACTCTCGGAGCGCTCGGATTCACTGTGGCGGCTGTGGACCCCAATACCTGGCGGGCGGAGCGCGCCGGAGACGGCGCCGGAGACGGCGCCGGAGGCGCTGCCAAGAGCACCCAGCGCAGATCCAAGAAATCCGCGCGGAGATCCGAGAGTTTATGATTACGCCGCATGTTCTTCTTCGAGATGAGTCCGAGAGCTGGCGCTCGAAGCCGTCCAGCTGCCTGCAGTAGTCCGCTGGCGCGGATACCTGGCGCTCGAACAGCATGCTGAGCGCTAGGCTGGTCGAGTGCTCGGGGCGCTCGTCGGCACGGTCGCCGTCCAACGCGGGCGCATGCTCGAGCCTGCCCTGAGTGGCCAGGCAGGACAGGATCTCCTCTCTGCGGGCGTCCTCGAGGAACTTGACTCCTGGCGGCTTGCCCCTGCGGCGGCCGGGTGACTTCGACCTACTGGACTTGGACGACTGCGAGATCTGGCGCTGCGGCCTTTCTGGCACCAACCCGGAGCTCGGGTCTGGCATCTGCACGCAGCGGTCTGGCGATCGCCGCCTGCTCAGGCGCTCTTCTGGGCACCCGTCGGCGGATACGTCCAGGCCGACTGGCAAGTTCGGAGCCGCGCGGAAGTTGTCGAACATGGCCGACATGGACCTTCAGCCCGGGTCCGCTGGCCACCCTCAGGAACACGAGCCAGCCAGACAGAGCCCTCAGAGGCACCCAAAACAGCCCACTGCCGACGGCCGGCTGGTGTCTGATTACTTTAGAGCCCCTATGGGGGGTGCTGCCGAGCTGCTCCTGGGCAGCCCCTGACATCCGCTGACATGGGTTCATCAATCCGCGGCCCCAGAGGTCCCGATCGCGTCCCGGGACCCGATAATAATGGAGCGACAGCAAGGTCCCGATACCGCTATTCCCCGGACCTCCCCTGGAGTGCGTTGCGTTGGACCTCTCCTCGGGTGCGTTCTGACCAGAATGCCGAAGAGAATCAGTAATCCAGACGTGGCGATGAGGGCTCTCCAGGATGAGCAGCGGCATCGGAGACTTTTCCTCCTCTGAGATAGGCCGAAATCCAGGAAGAACCACCCAGATTGAAAAAAACATCTCGTCTGGAGATCTGGGGGGCCGAGCCCCAGACCCTCACCCATTCTCCCATTCTCCAATACCGGCTTTTCGTCCCGAGTCGTTGCATGGGCCCACTGAGGGCCCCCAAAGGCAAGAGAGCAACACTCTGAAGCCGTCCAGCGTGCCTTCTCTTGACGCCAAGGGGGCATGGGTCGCATGTGCCTGTGCCCCAATGCCATCCCCATAGTGTTGCCCCTGCTGGGCGGGCAGCCGACCGCGAGACCTGGAGAGGCGCTGCTCATGCTCCAGCAGCAGGGGCCTGACGACGGCCTCGAGCAGCTCGGCCAGCTCCCGCCAGTGCCCGCCCGGGTCCTTGTCGCGGGGGCGCCGCCCCAGAGGCGGGGCGCCCCGGCAGGGCGGTCCCGTGCCGGCCATCGTCGCCTGAGCGTCCTCTTCCTGCTCCTCTCCGAAGGCTGAGGCTGCGGACTTGTCTCCTGCGGCTGCTGCTTGTGGAGCCCGCGAGACACCCTGCCCAGACATCGCCGGGGGAGGGTCAGGAGAGAGACAAGACGGGGAGAGAAAGAGGGAAAGAGAGGAAGAGAGGCAGAGAGAGAGAGACAACAAAAAAGGACGCTCCACCACCTCCTTCTCCTTTCCCTCCTCCTCCTCCTCCTCCTCCTCCTCCTTCTCCCTCCTCCTCCTCCTCCTGCTCCTGCTCCTCCTCCTGCTCCTGCTCCTCCTCCTCCTCCTCCTCCTGCTCCTGCTCCTCCTCCTGCTCCTGCTCCTCCTCCTCCTCCTCCTCCTCCTCCTCCTCCTCCTCCTCCTCCTCCTCCTCCGCCTCCTCCTTGGACCCCTGGACCCCTGGACCAAGTTACCCATACTGCTACTCCCTGGACCTCTTCTGGGGTGCGTTCCGACCAGGATTTCGAGGCGAATCCAGCGGTGGCGACGAGGGCCCCTCAGGTGGCCCCAAAGGGAAAACTGGCGAAGGGTACAGGTATGGGGAGCCGTTCTTCCCCCACTCTTCTGATCCGACTCCTCCTCGTGGGCCCCCCCCAAAAGGAACCCTGCTCCCCCTCCCCGCGTCCCGTTCCCGTCGTCGCCTGGCAGCGGGACGACGCCGAATGCAGGCCGCTCGCTCGAGCGCCGAGCCAGAAGGGCTTCGGAGGGGGAGTGGAGAGGAGGGCGGAGACGAGGGGGGGGAGGGAGGGATGGGGGAGAGGATATGGAATAGGAGGGGAACAGGGAGGGAGGGGAGGAATAAGAGGGAGGGGGAGGGGAGGAATGGGATGGGGGAGAAGGGGGGGGGGGAAGGGAGGGATGGGGGGGAGGATGAGGAGGAATGGGAGCGGGGTAGTCGATGAGTGGGGAGGAGGTGGAAGGATGAAGGAGGGGGAGACGGAGGGAGAGGAAAGAGGACGAGGAAAAGGAGGAGGAGGGGGAGGCGGAGGAGGGGTAGAGGGATGAAGGAGGGGAGGCAGGGAGAGGAATAGGATGAGCCCCCTAGCAACCTCCCTGGGGCCTCCTAGAAGAGCATTTCTTGTGTTCTCCTAGCCTCCTTATGCGCGCGGTAGGGATCGATGTGCTATCATTCGCGTCCAGCGCGAAGGTGGTCCTGGCGCGAATCAAACACTCATCATTTCAGACGCGTCGACCTCACCTTTACCTGACACGTCAACCTGCCAAGGCCACCCAAACAAAAAGCGGAGGCATCGCGTTCCCGCAATACTCTAGGTGTTGATCCTTGAATGCCAACTGCTCCTGTCATACCATCGCCAAACTCCTAGCGTCTCGGGGGGGTCTTGCTTCCAACCCACCCCGAGGTCACCAGTGAACGCACCACTCGACATTCCTGCATCAGCGCGCACACTTTTATCAATGCTAGCCAATGCAACCACTGGCCTAACAACACAATGGTAAACACTCGATATTAAACAGAAGTGGCCGGGAAGTCGATAGGTGGGCGAATGTTTCGGTGATTGCCCATGGTTCCCATACATGAGCTGACGTGGGTCCTTGCCCAAGGTGTAAACAATTCGGCTTGCATGCTCGCGGAGAGCGCATTGGTGGCCATGTCAACGGTTGAACCGTGGCCTTCGGCGCAATGCATTCAAAATGGTACGCGCAATGGTGAACCGTGCTTCACCCCACTCACCCTCCGCACCTTCGCCAGTCCCCCCTGACCCGGTTCCCCCCTCGCCACGTGCTTCACCCCTCCCGCGCCCACGTCCGCCCACCCCCGCCCCCCCTTCCCTTCCCTGATCCCACCCCCCACCCCCACCCCCACTTGACCTTTCCCACCCCTTCCCCACGCCTCCCCTTCTTCACCCCATCGACACCTCCTTCACCCCTCCCCCTCCCACCCTCCACGTCTGCTTTGACCTCCCTCTTCGGGCGCCTTTGACGCCGACCACGCAGTGCTCCTTAGTGCGCTGCACGATGGACGTGTCGCCGTACATTACCGTCTGCTGCTTGACCCGCCCCTACAGGGGCGACCCCTGCCAGTCAACCTCTCCTCCCCCCACCACCTTCTCCTCATCATCGTCATCAGCACCAGCGTCATTAGCAGCAGAAACATCAGCATCAGCATCAGCATTAGCGTCAGTATCATCATCATCATCATCATCATCATCATCATCATCATCATCATCATCATCATCATCATCATCATCATCATCATTTCCATCATCAGCATCGACATCGCCATCAGCAGCAGCATCATCATCATCAACATCATCATCATCATCATCATCATCATCATCATCATCATCATCATCATCGTCGTCGTCGTCATCGTCATGAGTATCATCAGCACCGACGTTGCCATCATCGTCATCATCCTCATCATCATTATCATCATCATCATCATCATCATCATCGTCATCATCATCATCATCATCACCATCACCATCCTCAACGAACCAACATCATCAACATTATCAACATTCGCATCGCCAACACGGAAATCCCTATCATCGTCAACAGGATTGTCATTATCATCAGCATCAGCAGCATCACCATTATCAGCATCATCGTTGTCATCATCATCATCATCATCATCATCATCATCACCACCATCAGTAACATCATCAGCGTCATCATCACCATCATCATCGTCATCATCAGCGGCATCATCATCAACACCATAATCCGCATCCTCAACCACGTCCTCATCCTCATCTTCACACCATCACCAGAATCATCATGCTCATCAGCATCGCCATCAACATCATCATCAGCAACAT